AACAACAAGCAGTTTTTGGAAAGGTGTGAGTAGATGTGCATACCATGTCTTTCTGTTCAAGCCGGGCTCCAGCTTCCACCAACTTTTTCACCACCTCTAGATGTCCTTCAGAGCATGCCCTGTGCAACGCAGTGCGTTTGTACTGGCAATTGAAACAGTGCAAAGTCAGACATTATGTATCGCACAAGCATATGTTTAAAATCTTTTCTCCCCTTCTCCCTAGGATGATGGCAAATACATACTCTGTGCTGATTCATTTTTAAGAGCTTATACTTTTGAAACTTGAAATCTGCTAAATATTAGTAGCAACCTGATAGCTGAGAGCTGCCTACCCAGCATTTTAAAGGATGTGAGAAATATCTGCAGCATGGCATTCAAATTTAATATGATGCCTGTTGAGTTCCCCATCCAACATTCTATGCTGTATTTTGCAAATGCAGCTTATGCATTATGGAATGTGAGGGCAGGCAGCATCACTTATTTCTGTCTTTCTGCAGACAAATTTCTTATCTCCTCATCTGTAGCTTTGGAAGATCATCTACTACTAAAAATCAGGGTTTCCTGGGCACCAATCGCTTTCTTTTAAATATAAAGACTCTTTTGAGGTAATATGACTTTGAAGGGTCTCAGTGGCCTGTTAATCACTATAAAACTTGATGTACAAAACTTCCAGCATTTATTTCTTCCCCCCCTCCCTTTTTCCTCCTCATAAGGGTGGAAGCTACAAAACTTTGTGGTAAAAGTTATGTCTGTTCTGTAATAACCCCTCTTCTATAGCAGGCTTTGCATTAGGAAGAAAGATTGTACCTCATCACAGACATTTGGATCCCCTTTGTCTGACAGGTATTTTTCAATTACTGGCAACTTATTCTCCAGCGCAGCTTTAAAGAACGTGGGTATATCCACAGGTCCAGTCTGATGGAAAGAATATAGAGGTCATAAACGTGTGTGGTACAAACCCCCATTATTGCTTTATCCAGAATAAGGTACTTTGAAGTAACTTACAATAACTTCTGGTTCAGGTTCCTTTAAAATGGGCACTTTCACTTTCTTGCATTTTTTCTTCTTCTTCAGCTGAATAATTTTTTCAAGATCCTCCAAGTTTTCAAGTTTTGTCCTTGCCTCTAATTTCTTCTTCTTCAACTGAAACAAATCAGGGAAGCCAGCAAGTTGAGCTGAGTGTGACCACCTCTTCCTTTTCAAAGTGGCATGACAGCGTGTTACTATTCAGCTGAATTCCATTAAGACTGTGAACTTTGAAATAAGCTGTCTTTTTTAAATATTATTATTTGCAGATAGGGCTAATTGACCATTGGAATAAGTTACTAAGTGTGTGAGAAATTCTTTGTCATCTATAGTTTTTCATATTCCATTGGACCTCTTCCTAGCTTCTACTTCAGCCATATGTTGTGGGCTAGATAGCGTGAATTTAGGCCAGGAGTCAGAGCACCACTGCAGTCCCTTCTGGCACAAAAATTTAAAAAATCTCATGTGCAGCTTATCAGAGCTGGGAAACTCCTGCAGTTTTAGCTGACTTCCACCAAGCATTTTTTCTTCAACCACTTTTATGATTCAGCCCATAATTTATTGGAACTTAATTCTCTTTGATTAAAAACATACCCTTAAGTAAAGAACAAGGTTTAGACTGATCTTAGCATTTCAGTCAGCAAGTGTTTTATTTTGGTAAGCTACAAAGAATGTCCTCAGTGTCCTTGATGGGCAGTTCAATAAATGTTTAAGATTTCTTCAAGCCTGCTTGTAAAAAGCATCCAGGCATGAAGTCAGTATGGAGCACTGCTAATATCAAGGGAAAATGTGTTGCCCAAACTGAGATCCCATGAGGTGTCCTTGACTTCAGAAGGGGGATTCACAAACAAGGGGTAATTCAGGGTCAATACAGATGACAGATTCATGGTGTCATTGAGGGTAAATACCTTGATGATATCCTGTCATATAGAATACAGTTTTGTCAACTGAATTCTTATTCAGGCTATTTCCGCCCTTTCTTTTTATTGTTCTCTGCATTTAGGGTTTGATCTGTAGATCATTGACCTTACAGGAAATAATTATGCTGAGTGGACTGTGGATCAACTGGAGACCCAGAAAGTTCTGAGGGCCCAGTTTTGGAGGAACTCAAAAAGCCTCTATAGCAAGAAATGATGTCTCTGTTGAAGGTTAAGTAGTAGTGTTTATTCTAATATTTCTGAGACTCACTTTCCCACTCTTCATTTTTCAGAAAAAAGTCTTGTTTCCCCTGCTAGTTAAACTTTTTCATTTCCAAATCACTTTAAATTTTTAGACCAGTTTGTTCCTTATTCACCAAAGAATTCAAGATGTGTTTTGGGGAAAAAAAGCATCAGTTCTTAGGAGTATGGGGAGAATTGTCATGCTCCAGGAATAGAAAACGGTACTTTTCTGTAGACCAGTATCACTTTCACTTGTAATTGTTCTTCCCCAATGTGCTAGTAAGCATGAAGCGTAATGCCATGTTTTCATAAAAAGAATATTTTCATGGTAAATAAGACTTCTGGCTTGAGAAATGCACTCTTACGTCTTCTGTGGGTTAGTTATTTTTGGTAGCAGTCATTAGGTGTGGAAGCTGAAGGTGGCTAACTGGCTCTGATTGCTCCCCCCTTACTGACAGCTGGCACCAGGTGACTCTAGGCAGGAGGGACCCCCTACAGTTTGTCAGACATTATAGGGGATGTTTTGGGTTCTGCCTCAAAACACTTCTGCCTGCAGCCATAGGCTACAGAAGTCAGCAGATCTCCGTGGTGTTCAGTGTACTTTAGACTAACCTCCTTTGGCAGAGATCTCCCAAGGGTTTATCTAGCTCACATGCATGTATTTCTAACTTAGGCAAAACTTCAAGGACTGCAGCAGGAAATGCACACAGGATGATAAAAATCCAAGCAGAAAACCCAAGAGCCTACCTCTGCTTCTAGGTTTTTCTCCTTCTCGTAAGCCAGATCACCTCGGGTCAGCAAGTGCTCAGAGACTGTCTTTAGGTCATCCTGCTTCTCTAATCTCACAGCAGCTTCATACTCCCCATTTTTGAAGTCCTCAGGGAGGAAGCTGCCAGTCTCTTTATCATCCACTTTCTTCCCAGTCACCTGTAAATTCAAACATGATATAATATAATCAGCAGTGTCATGACTGCAGTGGTCATCACCTGGGATGGATTCCCTAGGGTGGACCTTGTTCCTGTCCTGTGTGTGACAGACTGAGTGCAGACGGCATTCCACCTGTGCCTGGGTTAGCTGTGTGTGCAAATGGCTACACCAATCTCGCCCAAGGGCAGATTTCCCACATCCACACAGCAATCCACCCTTGGCATCTTCAGGGCTTGGATCCAGATCCATGAGGCCAACTCACAGTCTAACTCCCTGCCTGGCTGCAGCTGAGGTGCTGCTATATTGACAAAAGCCAGAGGGTTGGGAAGAGCATCCTTTTTGCTCAGGGTGTTCTTGTTTGTTGACTTGCCAGCCTGTGTCAGACTCACCAGAAGGCTCTAAAAGGCTGTGGTGGAAAGAGCCACCCCAACCAGCCACTCTGACCCTGCAAGTGTTGAGTAGGGGAACTGGGCAGGTAGCGTGGGAGGAGAGGCTTCCTCCATTGGGACCTTCCAGCTCTATTGAAACACATCTCATGCAGTTAAATCAGGTTGTTGAATAATTTCAAGGCTGGTTTTACCCATTGCTGTCAGTACCGAAGTCCGATTTATAAGAGAATGGGAAAAGGATGTTCCCGCACAGAAGTTTCGTGGTGCTGTGCAGCAGCACAGCTTTCAATAGCTTTCAGAAATACTTCTGATGCCCAATTAAATATGTACAAAGAGATAACTTATGCCAAAGAATTTAAGACAGCATGAACTAGTTAGGCTGTATGGCAGCCTATCTTAATATAGTCATCTGGGAATATAAAAGCAGTGCTTTACTGTATCATTCCTGTTTTCCCAGTTTCTCGAACAGATATTCTTAGTCTAAACTCTGCAGTGGCATGTCCCATCACTTGTGGTCTGGTTTAGACATTATTTTCATCTACATCATGAACAGCAGTGGTTGTAGGAACTGTTAGTATATTATTAGAAAACAATACTATTACTAAACTGTTTGTTTAGTATTATAAAATACTTTTGTTTCTTTGCATTAATACCTTGTCTCAGTGCCTTATTAGATTGGAATTACTTAGAATGATCATAAAATTCCTAGCTTCTAAAAAAGTAAAAATTAAAATCAAGGACAAAGGCAAATAAACAGCTAAATCTGGTCAGTCTCTTCTTCCTGGTGAACTGTGCTCTGATGCAAAATCCAAACAGCTCTGTAGCTGTATATGTGGCGAGCCCCCTTCCCCAAAAAAATTTAAAATGAAAATATAACAGGATAACAAAAAATGTATAAGAGTTTGCACCTAGAGCACAGCAGTGCTGGTAACCTGATAAATCAGTGATCCAGAAAGGTCATCTTTCTCTGCCTGGTGTAATGACAGCCTAGAAAGAAAAGTAATTGTGAGTAAATAAAGGAAGGTTGTACCTACCAGCTCTTCTACTTTCATCATCATTGTCATATTTGCTGGTGTTTGAAGGTTGTACTCCTGTACAACCTGTATGGCTGAAACTCCCAAGGGCTCAGACCAGCTCTGCAGGGACCACCACACTCACTTTGCTTATATATCTTTGGGAGAACTGTGCTTGAATGAGATAATCTTCCAACCTGGGAATCCAAGTATGCCCCTTGTGCTTGCCAGCTGAGAGGTAGGCTCACGCTCATTCCAGACATGTTAACGAGCCAGATCTGGTGTCGAGGCAGGGAGGGCGGGGGGCGTCAGCTGGGCGAGGAGGGGTGAGCCTCAGTCTGACCACACCGGGTATGTGAATCGGAATGAAATGTGAGCTCATCATTCTTTGGCAATGACTGCACTGCTCAGCAATGCGAGTCATTCTGTGTTCCCAGTGCCCACTAGGACAGCTGCCTGTTGATACAGCATTATAACTTCATCTTCTTTTTTTTTCTTAATTGACATTCAGATCACTGTAAGACACTGGAAAGGGTAAGTGGCTTATGTACAATGCTTGTAGCAATATCTTCCTGGCAAATTGATTATTACCTCTAAAGTCTCGAAAACCCATTTTTTTCATTGCTATTTATTCTTAGATGATAAACAGTTTTAGGGGAAAGGCTTTTTCTCATCATGATGACAGTCTTCTATATTTGTTGGAAGGAATTCTCTGAGGGATTACTAAGCCAGAATGATGTCTCTGGTGCTAAAAGGGCCTATGATGTGATAAGTTACAATCAGTGTAAGATCTCAAAACAGCAAGATTTGCATTTTTCTGGAACTTTGTCCATCAGTGGTCATAAGCCAAATAATGAATTATGTCTTATTATGCAAAAAAAAAAAAAGAAAAGAAAAGAAAACTTAATACTGACAATATTTTCCTTTTAGATATGAGAGAATAGGGGCACGGATGTGATTTGTTCATTTTTGACAATAAGATGGGTTACAGACAAATATACACAGGTGATGTGTGTGTTTTGGGGAAAAGGAGCTATTGAATCCTTTGGGAAAACTTCTCTTTTGCCATGAATCAGAGTAGCTTGGAGAATGACTATCAGCAGAAGGCAGTTTTGTGAGAGGAAGATGCACTAATCTTTGCCTTCAAAGAGTGTGGATAAATGCCAAGAAGATTCAGTTCTGTAATTGTGTAATGCTTGGAGCTCCTGTCTGATGAGGTGTAAGGTTGGCTGTAGGCATGTGGGTCACCTGGCTGAAATGAATACAGCTGCTCGCAGGTGCTCCAAGTACGACTTGTACATAAGTTCTTTACCAAATCAAGACATAACTATCCCACATGTTGTTTGTATCATTAGCATCATTAGCATGCTGCATTCCTGACACTGACCTTTCAAGGTGTTTCTCCTTTGAACTATCCCCCAGTAATCTGAGTACATCCAAACTTGTCTTCTAGTGCCCATCATACCTATGCCCTCCCTTTCCCTGAAATGAAGCTGGACATCAGGTGGTTCCTTTACTACTCAGAATATATATGACATTAGAGGATGAGTCCCAGAACTAAAATAGAGTATGTGCTAGCAAGAGAACCTTTCAGGACATTTTTTTCCAAACCTAAGTACAGCAACAGTATCATTCCCCTCAAGTGGTATGTCCAGAATCACACTGCCGGACTTTTTTTTCACACCAATTTTTCAGCTCCGCATGGCTTTTTCTAGTTTACAAACGTGCTGCAACAGCTTACCCCACTCTGTTCTGTTCTGTGAATCTTATCTGGGAGATTGTCTTGAAATCCACAACCCTAAAAGATGGCTGCACAGAGTGCTTCTGGTTAGCAGAAGGAGATCACAGCAGAGACCTGATGTGGAAAGAGAAATGCTTGCTTTAAGAACAAAAACTGTTTAAGGAGCTATGAACTTCCTCTGGACTTGTTGTATTTGAAGCTCATTTCTCCCTCTTTTTGCTTTCCTTTTTTTTTTTTTAACAACCTGACATATAAAACTGACTCAGCAAAGGCTAAACTGGAAGCTTTAAGCAGATAGGGCTTCCTCTGCAAATGGTACATAAATCCAGAGTGAGAGTAACTTTACAGGAAACCTCAGTGCTCTGAGGGGAAACGGAAACCAAATTCTTGCATCATGAATGCTACCAAGACCCAACAGCTTATTTATCTTTAAGGCATTCTGTCCATGATGACTAAAACAATAATACAGAATAGAAAAGAATCCCAAGTTTCTGTTTTAAAATGGTGGCACACAGAAACCCACTTTAACCAAAGGCTGGGATCTAAATTAACTTGATGGTAAATGCTTTTAAGCTAAATGTCATGTAAACTAAGGCAACACTATTGAAATAGCAGAAATGCACTGATTCATATCAGCTAAGACTCTTGGCTTATCACTATTGCTTAATATTGGAGGGGAAGTAGCATAATGAGCTTCTAACCTTGTCCTGGATTGTAACCACTTAATCACCTTTCACCAAGTGATTTCTCGTTACAGTGGTAATAGCAGATGGTCAGTGGGCGAAGTGTGATGGGAATCTGAAAAACTTTTGCCACTCCACTGAAGGATAAGGGCAGAGCAATGATCAGCAAGGTGTAAGGCAACTGGATATTGCCACAAAAATCCTCCACAGAGAAAGCACAAAAGGACGGTAGGCTCAGCATGACAGAGGGAAAACTATGGCACACCCTACTCCTTGCTATCAAAACAGAAACTCTCTGACTAGTGTAAAGAATGTTTGTAATAAATATTTTTAAGAGATTAATGGTAGAGTGAAAGCATCATGTGTGATACAGATGATATTGCTACCTCCTGTCAAGTGTACGACCATCCTGTTTTCAATGCCGTCACTGCTGTACTCATCTATCTTACATTTTCCAGCACTCTGCCCTTGGCTCTGTCCATGCATCTGAAGATGCTGCCCTTTGGATGCCATTGTGCCTGGCTGTCTCTTGTCCTTTTCCTATTGCTGAATAAGTAAAGGTATGAAAAAATCAGTTGCTGGGGAGGGGTTATGCACCTAAGAGGTTATTGATCCAGCAGATTATGTTCCACATGTTTGCAGCCAAAGATAACTTCATAACCAGGGTACACAGAAGAAATAGTAACCTATAGCTTACTCCTCCTGGATTAGTGATGTGTTGGTGTGTAATGGCTTGTTTATTTTGCAGTGTGTGTGAGCATCCAGCATGCTTTACATATATCCACATACAACAGAGCAGTAGAGAATTGTATATAGCAAGAACTGCATTTGTTTTCTCCTCTTTCTTTTTAGATGTTGGTTTTCCATAAAAGGCAGGAAACACTTTTATTCATCTTTGATACTTTTGACATAAAGCAGTTTGGGAATTAGTTAACTATAATATAAAAATTATACTGCTCATGTTCCAACTTTTCCAACATAGTGATATATATTTCTGCCTACTTTTTCTAAAGTGGTCAGGTAATTGCTATGTCATCTGTTTAGAGACTTCTTATCAATGTGTATTTTTGTGTACGAAACTGCTAAAGAGAAGCACATTGTTTCTATATGGGAAAAAAATACCCACAAAACTATTTCACCTAGGAATAGAAAGTTAGTCCTCAGTACAAAATTAGAATGTAAGGAATTATAAATTAAAAAATTAGATTACAGTTCCATTTTTTGCAGATCAGTTGTTATTAAAGAAACAAAGGAGTCATAATCTAGGAGATTGCTGATCTAGCCAACACAGTCCTCTGGTGTCAAAACCCAAACCAGCAATGAGTCAATAGTTGCATCACTTAAGATATACCTTAAAAAAACCCTCCTCAAATGACATCAGAGTTGGGGACTTCGCATAATAGATAAAAATACAACTGTGATTTCTATTTAAAAACAGGGTATTTGAATTTATCTGAGGCTGTGAGCTTTATCATGATGGCATTTTTACAACATGCGAATCTGGATAATTCATCTTAATGGATCTCAGCTAACAAGCAAGTGCAGCAAAACACACCCAGAGGGTTGTTATCTGTGGTCAAATGAGTTTATCTATAGGCTGCTTGCCTTCCTAGTCAGCAATATAGGTCAGGGTCCCACTGCTCCAGCATAACTGTGCTGATGCTGTTCATGTAACCTCTGACTACATTTGTGTGTGGTCAACAATGTATACTATTCCTTCAGCTGCTGCAAAAAGGTTTTTCTGTATCAATGTGGACTTGTCTAAAAGGTTTCTGCCATTCATAAAAACTCCATAACAACTCCAATTCAGGAAGGAATTTCATATCGTCTAACTTAAAGCCTCCAGTTTTTGAATCTTGCTATAGCTTTGCCTGAAAGCTTTTAAGTATTCCCTCTCACCCCAGTAGTAAAATGCCTTTTTGCTCTGCTATAGTTTTTGATGATACAAACCTCTCTCTGAAATGCTTCATAGCATGCCCAGGAACAGATCTAACTCCTAGCTGTCCTTCTCTCCACTTACACAGCAAAAGTAGCAGCTCAGGAGATGCAGGAGAGCTCTGCTGGGCAGCAGTGCAAGACTTCACAGGCTATACCTGAGGGAGTGATGTTCACTTCCTCCTGCTTCTATTTTAGGAATTCCGCTCTGCAAAGGTAGCAGGTTTTGTGTGGGGCTGCTTAACAGCAGTGACCAAATAACCTCCAGCCATTGCTTTTCCCTGTAGCCTTACATTACAGCACATGTTGAAGTAGTTATCCAACAGGATTCCCAAATCGCTCTCCAGGCAGAATCAACCCAATTACATTCCTCACAAGGGGAGACCGTGGGAGGTCATCTAGTCCAAGCTTCTGCTCAAAACAAAGTGAAAATGTAATTCAGTAGGGGTGTTCCAGGCTTCATCCAATCAGATCTTAAAAACCTCCAAGGAAAGAGATTTCATACCCCCCCCGGCCATCCTGTTTCAATGCCTGAGTAACCTCATAGTGATTTCTTTTTCTTTATATGCAGTTGAAACTTTCCCTCTTTCAATTTGTGATCATGGTCTCTTATTCTCTTCCCTCAAACCTCTGTAAAAACCCTGGCTCTGCTTTCTTTGTAACCTCACAGGCTGTTCTTGTTTTCCCTGAAACCTTGTCTTCTCCAGGCTGAACAAGTCCAGCTCACCCAGCCTTTTCTTACACACTAAGTGCTCCAGCCCCCAACCAGCTTGGGACTGATTTTACATCATTGTTTGGACACGTGATGAACATACTAAACGATGTTGTACCAGGAACTGATCCTTGTGGGAATCTGCTGGAAATAGTTCCACTCGTTACTCTCACCACTTTGCAATCTGTCACTGAGCCAGCTTTTAGTTCTTCCAAAGTACATCCTTTTAATTCCATACAATGCATGCTTTTTAATCATACCAACATATGCCATGAAATTAAATGCTTTGGCAAGACCCAAGTAAACTGCATTAACATGAATGGTGCTCTCTACCAGACCTTTCATCCTGCGAAAAGAGACTTTTTTGAAAAGATCTGCTTTGCATCCAACCACATGGATTAGCATCCGTTGCATGTATTTTGTCTGGTTCTTTCTTGATAAAGCTTTGGTTAACTCTTCCCCCTGTTTTCTGGGAACCCAGTCAGGTCAGCCTCCCTGTTATTTACTCTTTCATCACTTTCAGCCAGTCAAAATATCTTGGGAGCTAAGGAAAAACGAAAAGGAGCTTCTCTGCTTTATTGACACTGAAGCTGTCCTGTGAGATCTTTGGATGCAACCCAAGAGGATGTTCTACCTTAGGGAGGTTCCTGCATCTTGTGAATAAAAGGGAGCTCAGGGAACCAAAGTGAGAAAGAATTGGGTGGATTTTGCTTTAAAATATGATGATATTTTCATAATGCATTGATTTTGTAATCTCTTAGCACAACAGTAGTGTGTCACAACACTTATAATACATGCACTCAGGCAGAGCAGCCTCTCTCTCATTTATAGAAGTCATACCCACTATAATGTTAGAAATAGCTTGAGGAGATTTTAAAAATCACTATTACCCGGAAAAAGTAACCCTTTTATGTTTGGGGGTTGGGGGGGAGTGTTTATTGTTTGGATTTTTTTTTTTTGTTTTAACATACTGCAATTAAAATGTAAATGTGTAAACCTGCTTCACATTAAATTGGTGAAAAGCTTTTTCTTCCCTTTCATGAGATGAGGTTTCGTTGTCAGTGAGGTATTACTGGATTTGTATCCAAGCTATTTTTAACAAATATCTCCTTTGAATGCGATAATACCAGTGAGGGTGGAAAAGCATTGATGCAACTTTGAAATTACATTACATCATATTATGTTTGTCATCCTCTTGAGGCTAGAGGGTAAGTATTTCTGTGACTGCAAACACAGACAGAAAAGTCAATTTGCCCTTTGTTTGTCAATTTGTTATAGGTACATGGCATATACTAAAAATGCAATTTGAGTTTAATTTTAGAGAAGAGAGTAATTAAAAACTAACCAAGAAAAAAAAAGGAAGCAGGCAAAAAAACCCAAATGCACCTTGTCCTCTAAAGCTTCGTAATCAGAGGCAAATTTATGTCAGATGATGAACTTGGAGAAAAATCTTGTGCCCTTCTGTAACACAAAAGTTTTACAGGATTCTGTTGCAACCCTTTGACATGGGATTTCTGTATTCTTCTTCAGTTCAGGAGAAAGTGTAGGGAGCATATGCAAAAGGAGGAAGGAGGAGTGAATTATCTAAGTTGGCTTCTCCAGGTCTGCAATCTGCAGACACTATTTTTAGTAAGTTGTTATTTCACAGGGAAAATACCAGAAATTTCCCCCATAGCTATTTTGTCTCAGCCAAGGCATCTTCACACCACAGTCAGCTGGATAAGGAGACCATGGGGTAGGCCATTTCCCCAAAAGTCTGTTATTATCCAAATTAGGGAGCTAGGGAGGTGACTAGGCTGTGACTAGGACCAGCCAGTTCTTCCTGAAGCTCTGCCCATATCTAACTCACATAACCTGTAAGAAATTTTCTATGAGCCCTGCTTCTTTTTTCGTGTCTTTTTAGACCATCTGTGTGGCAAAGCCAGCATAGAGGCAGGCTGTTCTCACTATAACATGATAGAAAGACTGGGAAGATACTTCTTCCTCCCCTCGGTGTATTGAGGGTGAGGATACAGGACAGCATTAACACAAATGAAACACTAAATTTCATGGTGAAGAAATGTAAAAACAAACACCTAGATTCCTTTTTCTGTTGGATATGAGATTTAACTGTCTGAACATTTTTTTCAGAAATGAGGAAGAGTCATGTGAAAGTGATTTTTCCAAAGACAGAGTTTCTAGACAACTGCAGCATTAAAATGCTCAGATTTGAAGGCCTGCCCTTTCTGTTTTGAATTTAGCATCAAGCACCTGCAAATACTTCTGCGATCTCAGAGTCACTGCAGAATGCATGTTGGGATACCTGCTCTTCTGATGCTGAAGGGGAACAGTCAAAATACATCTTCCCATGCTAGCTGTAAATTAACAAAAAAAAAGAAGGCAACTTTTACATTTTGTTTAAGATCATGAAAGTATAATCACATTTGTAATAACTTATGACTTTACTGTTTAATTTTCCATTGATTTTTCAAAGAACTACTTTTTTTTACTGTGCTGCATAAGCAATAGTGCACGTGTTCATTATGTTCTAGGGCAAGAAATGATTCTAGAAAATAGATGAAAGCAAATCCAATTTTGCTTT